GAGCCTGCCAAAGAATGCCTTCCGATAAAAAAGACATATGGGTGGTTTGATTGAGTCATCAGTTTCTAGATCGGTAGATTGAGATCCTCGTCTAGCTAGTTCGTCCGCTCTTTCATTACCCAAGATGTCACAATGTCCTGGTAGCCAACACAACCGATAGCTATAGGTAAGTTCTTCCAGAGCTGCTCTACACTTGAGGACGGCTTCGGATTTGATGTAACAAGATTTGATGGCTTTATGAGCCGCTTGACTATCCACAAAGATTGGGACCGGTTCAACGACCTATGCATCCAGACTTTTTATCAATTCCGCTGCCTTCCAGATCGCGAAGATTTCAGCTTGAAAAACACAACAGTTGCAATCCAGCTTGTAGGTTAACACAAGGCCTAACCTTTCACAGTAGACGCCTGCCCCATTACTTTCTTCCATGTTGGATCCGTTCGTATAGAAGGCCAGACCGTCCAGAGGAGGGTTACTTCGTTTCCAGTCGTCTCTACTAGGAATAACGACATCTACATCGTCAAATCTCAGGATTGGTGATATATAGTCGCTTAGTTTAGCGCGTTGGTCCAATGCCATATCTGGTTCATTCAGAATACTACTATGCCCAAAGGTACAGTTCCGCCAGAGTTTTGGTTCGTGCAGCCTTAGGGCGCTACACTGAGGCTGAGGCCCAGAGGCTTGAAGTACAGCATTGCGTTCAGAGCTGCTTCTGGCATACTCCTTATGGCTCCTGTAACTAAAATTGCGGCGTCTCTTTGTACCTTGTATAATTTACTGGATGTCGACTTGAGGCTCAGACAGTTTCACCAAATGGGCCTCACCACAGTGTTATACAGCCAGTGTATGTCGATGGTTTTAGTCCCCAAATTTTCCCAATAGAGTTCTTGCATGCATAGAGTGCAATCATCCCTCTCTTCGCCCGCTCCTCAACGTTTCTTCTCCATCGTAGTTGACAGTCCAGAATTGTGCCGAGGAGCTATATCTAAATCTGAACCAATTTTCACCAATTTCAATAGGGGCAAATAAATGGTATGTGCCAAATTTCATCTAATTCAGATAATAAATGCGACCTGCACTTAGTTTACAATTTAATATGGACAGACGTACGAACGGCCATGCATAAAACGACTCAGAAAGTGAATTTTTGCGTACTTTCAAATGGAACCATGAGCCTATCTCGTTTTCTTATGTTTGTTACAAACATATTCACACATTGTGGTAAAGGGTATAACAAAAACAATTTAATATACACTTCATCTTCATACATTCCATGAGAAATTCCTTTCCTTATATACTTTTCCTTCCTTTAAATACATTTTCATCTAATTTAAAAAAATATCAACATTTTAAAATACTTTTTCTTTATATTGACGTACCCCCTAACCTTTATATGCACCCCACCCCATTTGACTATCTACAAAAAAAAAACGGTATCATTTTTTATGATTATTGTTATTATTATTTGCTGTCATTTATCATTTTTGTTTACAAAACCTTCACGCAAATATAATTTAAGTCCTTAGTTCCGTTGCGTTCCGCAACTGTTTTCATTCCCCCACAATGGTGGAAGGGGGTTGGAAACAAAGTCCAACAGCTGTTGCTATTACTAATTCCCCGTGTTACTTGTTATTTGGTTGGCCTGTTGTTGATATTCACAATTGCCAGCAATTGAAAACACACAACAACAACAGAAAAGTGAGAAAAAATTCTACTTTGCTGGTATTCAGTGTTGCACGCAATTAAGGGAATTTTGTGAACACACACATACAAAAATATAAATACAAATAATAATAAAAAATTATTTCCCTTTTTTGTCAACAACAAACAAAGAACAAAAAACTTAAACACTTCAAGAAAAAAAAACTGAAAACGCACACAAAACCTTACAGGTGGGGCAGGCGCGTAAAATAAGCTACCATTGCACGCCAATAATTCCGGAGAACAAAACAACAAAAACGAAATATAAAACAGGAAAGCATATAATGTTAAGCGGATCATGTCTTGTTGTTATTTGCCAGTGTTGTTGTGTTGTCATTGTCGCTGCGGGAACAAATGTTATCAAAATAACACCTCCGACAAAAAAACACACACAAACTTTGCGGCAAATAAATTAAACTAACAGATATTCTTATGGCAATTGAGGCATACATAATTTGAATTCAGCGAATTTGCTGATTGGGGTGTGAGGATAGAGCGTGTGGAATTTCTTTCAGATTTTTTGGGAGAGTTTTTTTTTATTTGAGGTTTACAAATAGTGTGCAATTACAAAAATGTACAACAATAACTGGTGAATATTGTGGTAAATTGAAATAGGTTTCCATGACGGATAAATAATTATTGGTGGTGGAAATTAATGTTTTTCCGATAAGGCTTGAATTTTTGTTTTATAGAGGAGGAATAAAAACAAGTTCCTTAATTTGCTTTACCATGAAGTAAATATTTAAAATATCCAAAATTTATCGGCACTTTGGAGACATTGTTCAGCCTGAGGACTCTCATTTTGAAAAAATGAAACAGGCCCTTAGAAAAGGTACATTCAAGAAGACACTTACTCACCCAGGGCATATATCAAATGAATGAAAATTGCCCTTAGAAAAGTTCTGTGAAGACATTGTTTATCCACCAAAATCCCCAATTTACAGCCATTTCGCACTGCTAATGCTATAGTTTCTTTAGTCCATCAAAATACCTATAAAAGGGTTGGACCTATGTAGCATGTCTAAATGTAATCTCTTCATTCAATTCTTTTATAAAAAATTATATGTTTTTGAACCACATATCCTATATAGAAAATATCCTGACCTTCAACTCATTCGAATATATGGAAAACACAAAAAACTCAGTTCGTCTGGAATTCGACATATGTATGATGGGTTTCCTGGTCGTAGTTTCTCTACATTTTATTTCAACGTCGTAACAAAATACTTCTCACAGATCATCAGCTCATAACTGAAAGAATTTACGGCGCTCATCTTCTGGCTTTCTCTGGAAGCATGTCTGACCTTGAATTCATCAACAAAGGACAGCTAAGCCTTCTGGAAGAATGACAGGAAGCCTACTTTCTACACCATAGTATCTCCCGGCCTTTATTTCAAATTCAGATTATCTTTGAAAGACTTCGAAGGCATCAGATACTCTCTGAAAATTCGTAGGCCTCTCACTCCTCCATATACTTCCCAACCCCGATAACCCATCTCCGAAAAAAATGGTTTTCAGTTTTTCTGTTCAATAATTCAGGTCTTGAAGACCTGGCCCTACGAAGTATTGACTCGCATATAAAGACTACTTATAAAGGACTACCTTCAGCTATCTTGTCTCAATTCGTCTATATAGTCTCAGTTTCCTTAAATTGTACATGCCTCTGACTCTCTGCTCTACAGAGATTCTCTTCAGCTCGCCAATAAGGGTTCGTCTACAAGGGTTCTCCATAGTTCGTTCATAGAGACTCCATCCAACTCCTCTATAGAGGCCCTCTTAGCTCGACTATAGAATACTATCTTCAGATCGTCCAAATAGAGTCCCTTCAGTTCGTCTATGAAGACTCCTACCAGCACTATGTTCAATCTCGCCTATAGAAGAGTCTCTTCACCTTGCCTAAAAAATACTTCCTTCAGTTCCTTTAAAAAGACTTATTTTATCTATACTTGAAAAAGACTCCCTTCAGCTCATCTATAGGGAATGCCTTCAGCTCGTCTTTAGAAAACTCTATTAAGTTCATCTATAGAGACTACCTCTGTTTGTCTGTAGATATACCCCTCAGCCCGAGTATAGGTACTACCTTCAACACGTTTATAGATACTCTTTCTGCTCGTCTATAAAAGACTCTATTGAGCTCTTCTATAGAGACTACCTACAGCTCATCTGTAAAAGACTCCCTTAACCTCGTCTATGCAAGACTCCCTTCAGCTCGTCTATGAAAGACCCCTTTAGGTCGACTTTAAATACGCGCTTCAGCTCGGTTATAGAAGACTTCCTTGAGCAAGTCTATAGGTACTCCCTTCAGCTCGTCTATAACGACTTTCTTTAATTCGTTTATAGATACTCCCCTCAGTTCGTCTATAGAGACTCCATTTAGCTCGTTTATAAAAAATCACTTCTATCACCTATAAAGACTCCCTTCATCTCGTCTGTAGAAGACTTACATCAGCTCGTCTATAGAAGAGACTCCCTTCAGCTCGTCTATAGAAGAGACTCTCTTCAGCTCGTCTATAGAAGAGACTCCCTTCAGCTCGTCTATAGAAGAGACTCCCTTCAGCTCGTCTATAGAAGAGACTCCCTTCAGCTCGTCTATAGAAGAGACTCCCTTCAGCTCGTCTATAGAAGAGACTCCCTTCAGCTCGTCTATAGAAGAGACTCCCTTCAGCTCGTCTATAGAAGAGACTCCCTTCAGCTCGTCTATAGAAGAGACTCCCTTCAGCTCGTCTATAGAAGAGACTCCCTTCAGCTCGTCTATAGAAGAGACTCCCTTCAGCTCGTCTATAGAAGAGACTCCCTTCAGCTCGTCTATAGAAGAGACTCCCTTCAGCTCGTCTATAGAAGAGACTCCCTTCAGCTCGTCTATAGAAGAGACTCCCTTCACCTTCAGACCACTTTCAGCTTTTGTGTTGAGAATCCATTAAACTAGAAGAATGCCTTCGAATTGCAAAAAAAAAAAACTTTCCTTTCAGCTCCTCTTTAAACAATTCACTCTCCTGTTCCGCTGTATATAGACCTTCTCCTTCAGACAACTTTCAGCTTTTGTATTGAAGATATATTAAACTAGAAGAATTCTTTCGAATGTTTTTATGTTTGAATATTAAAATATTTCCTTGACATCAAAATACACCATGATATCAATTAAGTACATTCCAAGAATTTAATTTCAATTCGTTTCTGCCGAAAATTACTGCATGCCTGTTAAAAAAGAAATAAATTGTTTCGTTTCATTTCATTTATGACTTATGTCTCTCACAACATTTTTTTTCACTTTTTTTACCCCCAATTTTTTTTTCTTTCAGATTTAGTCCAACACGTGCCCCAGCGCCATGGGATGGTATACGCATATCGGATAAATATAGTCCTGTGTGTCCGCAACGTTTGCCAAATATACAAAATGAAACGGCGGCATTGGAGAAAATGCCAAAAGGTCGTTTGGAATATTTGAAACGTTTATTGCCATTCCTAGAGAATCAATCAGAAGACTGTCTATATTTAAATATATTTTCACCAATAAATGGTAAGTAGTAGCAAGAAGACGAATACAAATATCTATGTAATTTATGTGGCAAGCACACTTACATCTACATAAAATGTGGAACAAATATATATGTATTATATGTATACATACATAGTTACCAGAATGTTTTTTCTCCTTTAAATATTTTAAATTATTTTGCCTACTCACATTTTTGCCTTGTGGAATTTTTTCTGGCATCTACAAATTCATTTGAACAATTATCTAATAAACAAAATAAATTAATAATTTAATTTGTTTAAATTCAATTCGTGATAAAATTTGAATTAAACTCACAACATGAACTATTGGGCGCCAATTGGCATCCTGCTCTGCAAAATTTACAATTACACCAAACTCCAATTGAAAACCCTAGAAAATTATTATAAAATGTACTCTCTCTTCCTCGCTCTTTCTCTATATTTATATAATTTATTATAACAACAACTAAACCCGTAACAAGGTAAATTTATATGAGAAAATTTAATTAAAAATTTACCACAAAAAATAAAATAAAACAAGTTTCAAAATCTCATTAATATATCAAATGTAAAATAAACAAACACCTCCACATCTGCCGTTCCGCCACCCAATTATATAAAATTAACTAGTGTCAAGTTGTTGTAATGCTGCCCACATAGGTTAAACTGCAAATGGTGTATAACAAATGACAACAACAACAGCAACATGATCACAAATAATAAAAGACCAATTCAATTAAATTTCCAAATAAAACCAGAACCAAACAATTGAATATCGAATAACGCTAAATACAATTAAAATTACTATAATTAAAAAAAATGGTAACGTAAATGAATAGGACGCAATTCAATTTAATATATTTAATTTTAATGTAAGCCTAAGGGAATATAAGGAGCGAGAGAGAGCGTGTGTGTGTGCTTTGGCGAGTAAATTTAAAAGGGGAGGAATTGTATTAATGTGTTACCTGGAAATATTTATTGTTATAAATAATTAATTTGTACAAAGGAAGGGGACTAATATCGATTATATAGATGGAGCTTCACAATGTATTCCAGAGTAAAAGTCGAACGTTATTAGTATATAAATACATTATTCCAAATTTACTATTGTTGGAGAATCAAGAAATTCTCAAATCGAAAGGGATTGGTTTTACAGAAAATTATTCATCACTAGCATATGCCCGCAATTTCGTTAGCGAATGTAGGAAATATTTAATAATGTATTAACATATTATTTTATTTTTAGATAAAACTGCATATGTCTGAAAAAAAAAACAATCCACACATTAATATCGAGCATAAATTAAATTTGAGTACCATTTTGTACCAAATTTCATGATTCGAGCTCTAAAGGTTCACCCAAATCCAAATTTTAACAAATTTTCCATTTGGCACACATTATTTCCATAAGTACCCTCCTCAACCAATGATTCCAAATTCACATTTCAGGATTCCAACTCTAATAATTCACCCACAATTGAAATTTCCAAAACTTCCTACTTAACCCAAACAAATTTTATACACAGCAGTGCCAAAATTCACCCACCCACTATTGGTTCACCCATAATTCAAATTCTACCAAATTTAGTACATAGTTGTACTAATTTCCAAAACTTCCTACATACCCCAAACCTACACACCCAGAGTGATCCTAAATCGAAGTTTCAGAATTCCAACTTTATCGGTTGGCCCACAATCCAAATTGTACCAAATTTTGTACACAGTAGTACGAATTTCCAAAATTTCCTACTTAACCCAAACCAACACCTCCACAGTGATCCTAAATCACCTACAATTTAAATTGTACCAAATTTGTACTAAGTGTACAAATTTCTAAAACTTCCTACATACCCCACAGTGATCCCAAATCCAAGTTTCAGGATTCCAACTCTATCGGTTCATTCACAATTCAAATTGTACCAAATTTAGTACACATTAGTACAAATTTCTAAAACTTTTGTGGCCTTTAACTTGCCCGTTAATAATCCCTGGCCATAGCTTCTTGATGAAATACTTCCAACATCACATTGCCCATTCATCTGTGAAAGATTTTCTGCGGTTCATCTCTCATGTATATCTCAAATTTTCAAATATTACATAAACTACTCCTAGTTCTAAACCGCCCATAAAATATATCCTTGGTCTATAGCCTTTATCCACAAATGTAAAACCCTTTCATACAAAATACACAATCGTATTTAAGATTTCTATAAGACCATCAGCATAAAGAAAGGATCATCTAAAAAAGGGTCCTTAACCATTTGATCGTCCGCGAAAGACACCCTGGCCTTTACTTAGCCTTTAAAATCTACATGGTTTTCAAATGGCTCTTCAGCTGGCCCATGAAAGTTTCAAAAAGGGTCCTTAACCATCTGATCGTCCGCGAAAGACACCCTGGTCTTTACTTAGCCTTTAAAGTCTACATGGGTTTCAAATGGCTGTTCAGCTGACCCATGAAAGTTTCAATGGCCGTCAAAGAGTCTATGAACAATTTTCTGACTCCTGACTAGCCTATTAAAGTCTCCTTGCTTCATCTCACGTATGAAGAGCTTCTTGCTTCGACTAGCCACTGAAGGGGCCATTGGCCTTTATTTGCTACATGGCGTTTAAGTATCCCATGGAAGACACCACGGCTTCATTTGACCCATGAAAGTTCCATGATCTTTAAGCAGTCCATGAATATCAAGCTCCATCTGACCCTCTTTGTTTCATCTTGCCTCAGAAAGGGTCCATGACCTTCATTTAGACTTAAAATTGTCCATGAAAGTCTCCATGAATTCAGCTGGCCCATGAAAGAATCTCGGACTTTAACTGGCCTATGAAAAGTTCCTTGCTTCGTCTCTATGTCTATGAAGAGTTACCTCGCCTCTAAGAGGCTAACTGGTTTTCAGCATGTCTATGAAAGTATTCCTACCCCTCAACTCGCATTCCTGCTTTAGATCTAGATAAATATATATCCCAGATCTTCAGGTCGTCTATGAAATTCTTTCAGATCGTCTTAAAGATCCCTTTTAAGACCCTTGGCACCAACTTGCCTATGAAAGGCCAGCTTCTCTCATTCGTAGTACATAAAAGCTCCTTGATCTTTAGTTTTTCTATAGAGAATCCTACGACTCATCTCGCATTCGTGCCTCAGATCTAAATAAAAATGGTATCGGATCTTCAGGTCGTCTATGAACTTCTCTCTGTGGTCGTAAAAACTCCTGGCGCCAGCCTACCTATGAAAGGCCACAAACATTCAGCTAGCCTATGAAAGCCTTAGTCTCCTTAATGAAAGGCTTTCTTATTCAGACAGCGACTGCCTACTTCTGATATCATCTAAAATATACCTTGGCTATCAGCTTTTCCCTTTCGTCGTGTATAAAGCCTTCCTGACCATCAGTTCTTTTATAGATAACACTACCCGTAAGCTATCATTCTTGCTTCAGATTTAAATTAAAAGAATATCGAATCTTCAGGTCGACTATGTACTTCTCTCTGATTGTAAGGACCCCGGGCGCCAGCCTGCATAAGGGTGTGTAAAGGTATCTCGGACTTTAACTGGTCTATGGAGGATTCCTTATTTTATGTCTATGGCTATGAAGAGCTCTCTAAGAAGCTAACTGGTTTTCAGCATGCTTTTGAAAGCTTCAAACATACATTAAATTGGTCCCGGATCTTCATGTCGTCTATTAAATTCTAGCAGATCGTATTTAAGATCCTTTTATGCAATTCTCGCAGATCGCCCTTAAGATCCCTTTAAGACCCCTGGCACCAGCTTGCCTATGAAGGGCCAGAAACTTTCAGCTGTCTGAATCAAAAAGCCTTTATCCTTCGTGAAAAGCTTTTTGACTCAGACAGCGACTGCCTACATCAGATATCATCTGAAAGACATCTTAACAATTAAATTTCCTCCATCGTAGCGTATAAAAGCCTCTATGACCAACATGACTATGAATTCTATAGAGAATCCTACCCTCGCATTGGTACCTCAGATCTATAGTAAAAGATCGAAAATCTTCAGGTCGTCTATGAATTTCTCCCAGGCCGTCTATAAAGATCCCTGGTGTCAGCTTGCCTTTGAAAGACCACAATTTTTCAGCTGACCTATGATAGCCTTCATCTCGCGACGGCCTACTTCAGGTATCATCTGAAAGACATCTTAGCAATTACATTTCCTCCATCGTAGCATATAAAAGCCTCTATGACCAACATGACTATGACTTCTATAGAGAATCCCACCCTCGCATTGGTACCTCAGATCTATAGTAAAAGATCGAAAATCTTGAGTCGTCTATACATTTCTTCCAGGCCGTCTATAAAAACTCCTGGTGTCAGCTTGCCTATGAAGACCACACTTCATCTCCTTCGTGAAAATCTTTTTGATTCAGACAGCGACAGCCTACTTCAGATATCTCATAAATACACCTTTGCTACCCTCAACTCTAATAAAAATAATCTTTCTTTTAATTCCCACACATGCCTTCCACTTTCTACAAAAGACTCCATTCTGATTCTCTATACAAAAAAACTCCAGAGGTTCGCTTTACAAACTCCATTCAGGTTGCCTATAAGTACTACCCTTGGCTCGCCTTGAAATATTACCTTGTACTCATCTACAAAGACTCCTTATCACTTGACTCTTTTCTATAAAGAGAGAGAGAGAGAGACCTAAGGACTCCCTCCTACTTGTCTCCAAAAACTCAATTCATGCGTCTAGAAGAACTATCTTCAACTTTTCCCTTTTACCTATTCCCTAGAGATCCTGTTTATCCCATCTATAAAGACTCTTTTTAGTCCAGTCTCCACTCACCATCTCCTTTCAGTTGGCTTACATCGGAAATTCTCATAGGGTACAATTATGCACTATATTTAGCACACCCTCCCCCCGTCCTCGTTTTTCGACCTTTAGTAAAACATTAACTGCGAGACAATTAATTATAAAACTTGGTGTCATGCCGACAGGTTAAGTGGTGATAGTTATACCTCGACTGAAAATCTGGTTATTCTGGTCTACCACACGCAAACACACACATACACTCT